AAGGTGAGGCAACACCAGCAGTCACGAATTGTGAAAAGCAGGGGCAAACCAAGAGCTCTCAGTACGCCCCAGGGCAGAGGGAGCTGTCAGTGGAATGAAATGCTTGTAGGCTCAAACTGGAAACACTTTGAGAAAGACTTCTGTATGTTTCCAGGGCAGTTTGGAAAAGAGGAAATCTTTCTTTAAAAAGAGTTATTCTGCTCAGGAAGTCTTCCTCCGAGTAGGATTCTGTGTCTTGTTCTCTTTCCACAGGAAACCATAATGCTGAACCAGATGAGCTGCAGCACTGCAGCCTGCCAACTGCACATAGCACGTGGGAAAAGTGAGGGTGGTTAGCAGGGATAGTGGCAGCAAGATCTTGAATTTGTAAAGCTGGAAATTGCTGTGGAGTCCTGCAGTTACAGTTCCTCTTTTTGTGTCTACAAGTTGTGAGGAGACACTAGTGGAGGAGAGGCAGAAGGCAAGTGCAAAAGCTTTGAAGAAACGGACAGCAAAAAGGGTTACCTTGTTCAACCACAGCATGCTAGGAACATTCTAATTTGGAACATCTGGTGGCTATTTATCAAACCTGTTCTTGAAACTTCCAGTCGTGGAAATCCCACAAATTCCTCAGGCACAATTCCAGTGCGTTGTTTTTTCTTCAGTGTCAAACAGACTTTTTTCTAACCACGATCTTAAAATTTCTCTTGTATCTTTAAATGCATACTGACTGCCTTATCCTCCATATTTATGATGAACTGACTATCTAATATTTCTTTGTGATAATCACTATGTAAAATGTACATATGTTATAATAGACATGTATTCATATGCCTGTATTTGAAGGTTCTTAATCTGTATTGCTTTAACATTATCTCTACACAAATCAACCCACTTTTTTGTAATCCTTCTTTTGTTTTCTGCAGCCTACCCCACATAACTTCCCATCAAGTTTCATTTGACTTGCAGAGTTGTTTAACTTAGAATGAACAAGGTGTTGCTGTAACAAACAACCTGAAGTCATTTTTCAGGTGTCTGAATCAGGCCTCAAGTGTCATTTATATGATCTAAATAAATACCTATCAATTTTGACCCTTATGTGACTTACAGCCTGGTAAAATGATTAGGCTTAGCACTTAGTGTTTTCTTTACGTCACAAAAGAGGGACAGTGAAGCACGCTCTGTTTTATAAAAAAGAAACTTGCTATAATGTTTTGTTCAGGAGACATCATAAATGGGGCAGGTGTTAACACGTAGCTGTGTCAGAAATAGTCCTGAGCTCCAGGTGCACATGAAGCAGACCCATTTCCCCAGGCACGGAAGTCAAGCTGCTTACCTTCTCACCTCCATTCTCACAACTACTTACAAATGCAAGCAACAGGCTGTTTAGTGTGATGCCCTACGCCCATCAGTTAGCCCAGTAAGCAGAGCATATGAATCTCTGACCATGCTACTGCCTCGTCCATGACATTTCATTTCTTCACCTCTTGCTTACCTCCTTATGGAGTACACTCTTCAGGGCTGAGACTTAACGTTTTGCCCCTGGTTTCAGGAGGCTCTGATGTTAATAATAGTCATCATCACAAGCATCCTCTATGAAAAAAATAAATAGATAAATAGATAAATAAATAAGGAAGTATCAACTAGAACAAGTAAATTATAACCTTACCAAAATTAAGGAGGCAAAACTAATAAAAATGCTTTTCACATGTACTGGAGGAATGGAGCTAGGTCCTGCTCTGAGCTTAGCATATCTAAACAGTGCACTAACAGTCTCCTTGATTAATTTTTGTGTATTGACACATTAGGGCAGAAGCAAAAAACCTTTAATGAAATTTAGAGGACACTGCATTCACTCCCCTTGGAAACCAGCCTGAAACTGAGAATGTTGTGGCCAGACCTAGAAAATACAGAGTATAACACTGAAAAACAAAACAAAACAAAATTGGCCAATAAACATTAAGCTGTACTGACCACTCATTACATACTCTGTGGCTTCTTGTAGTTGAGTTCTCACTTGTTGCTCCTATCAATGTGTCTTTACCAGGAAAGAATAACTAGGGGTTAGAGAAGTACTTACAAATATTATGAAGTACTTTAGGAACTGGTTCCTTGAAAGGAATTTGCATCTGATGGGAAAATGACAACTTATCCATGCTTCATAAAGGTTGTGACAGGCAAGTATAAAGAGCCAGGTCTCAGATAAATTCTTCCATTGTTAGTTCCTCACAGAAGGACCTCTCCTTGACAAGAAACATTTGATTTCTCACTCACTTGTTGGGAAATGCAGTCATTTTCTTTTCTGTTCCTAAACTTCCTACACAAGGAATCAATTTAGAGAATACACATAGCCTTTCTAAGAGCCCTCTGCAACCAGAAGAAATATTTCTATGCCACTTATATACTTCACTGAACTGGTAGCTTGAAGCACCTCTTTGATTAATGGTCTTCCGTTCATCAAAAGAAAAATACACACTCCAAGGCAGTGCAGCAGAGCTGCACAATTTTCCCAGTGAAGATTTAAAACAAACAAGCGTGAGCCAATCTGTTTCTTTCTCCAAGCTCAAAGCCTGATTAAAGTATTTTGCAACTAGGCATTAAAAACCATGTTTGTGGGGTTTTTTTTTTTTTTTTTTTTTTTTTCAGTTGTTGAACAATTCTATAGCTCTGGTTTCCTAAATTGATTTAAAAACAAAGTTAGGGCTCATGACACACTAGTTTATTTTACCCATATTTATTTTTAAGGGAATTTTTCTTCTCATTCTAAGTTTTCTAGGGTAGTTGAAATCTGTGCTGTGATGTCACAAATTTTGTTGTTATTCCCAAAAAGTGCTTTTACTTTCCACTACATCTTAATCTTTATGTTTTTCAGTGATAATATTATGTTTGCCTTTTTTCCTACTATCCTTTCTAATCCTATTTTTACCTCTGTTCTTAATGTTTTCACGGTGTCTTTTATAGGCAGAATGCAGCTTTGAGAAAATGAAGTTTTTTTGAACCTATTTAGTAAGTTAAAAATCAATCAACTTTAAGCCTCTTTTATTTCAACAATCTTCAATCTTTTATTTCAACCTTCTTTAGAAACACAATAATTTCAATAATGCAATATAATAATTATTCAATAATTACAAGAATACAATAACTTCTTTAGAAGTGCAATAATTAAAATTACTGTAGTATTTGGGAGGCTATTTAAGATCATCTTATCAATGCCCTGTTATCCATCATTTTGTTGACTGCCAGGCTAGTGCTGAAGGCTTAGAAGTCTCAGTCTCCTCAGAGGGATGAAGCTATGGAGGTAAAGGTTAAAAAAAAAAAAAAAAGTCAGTGCAGAGTTTGTGATACAGTGGTGCTGGGAGCAATCATGTTTGCAAGTCACTCCCTAGGTTGCACTGTTAAATCTTACTACACATTTTTCTGCTCTTCTTCCAATCAGCCACTGAAATTTCAGTCTTGAATCATCCTCTTCTCCTACTGTTTTCATTGTCTATTGATATACTGTTTTGGGAGGAGTAGAGGAAGAAGTTGAGAAAGCAAATAAGAAGTTATTTGCATAAGACACAAATTTCCTTAAGAGTGCTGTAAGACAAGGAAGGAAATAATAAATCCCTTGGGAATTTGTTCCTCAATGAACGCTTGACATTTCTCAGCCTGTACTGGTTTAGACTCACCTACCTTGTCAAAAAAAGTATCATCTACTGCACCCTTCTGGGCATTACCAGAACAACACATTCTATAGAAAATTCCAAACAAAACCAAGCAGGACTAGAGCACAGCGTTCATGAGCAATGACATAACTTTTCTTATTGTTAAAGGAAAATAGGCGCAAAAGTCTCTCTAGCTTTGATCGATCTGAGACTCAAAAGAGATTCAAGAGAGAAAACTTTTCCATTATGCTTGCTTACAGATCTAGAGCAGCTTCAGAATTCTGCATTCTGTAGCAATTACTATTTGATAGAAGAGCAAGTAGTGGTGTTAGTAGCAAAACAAGCAAAGTTCAGCTGTTGTTTGTATCCCTGTTCATCACGTCCTCACACATCTCTTGGTAAACTCACATCTCACATATATCAAACTTGTAAATCTTCAGGTCCTCCACAACTACTTCACTGAGGAATCATTCCCTAATCCCATTTCTTCCCACTCCCACATAGCTGTTGCATATACCATTTCCCAAAACATCATTCTTCTAACACAGGTAGAAATAACTTCATTAAAATAAATATACAAAAAAAATAAATAAAACCTCACAACCCCAATTTCATCTAACCTTGCCTTACTAGCCCCAGCTAAAGGCTTTATCAACTTGGTAAACCAGCTGAAAGTCATAAGGCACTGATTGCCTGATTTGCCTCAGCTGAGCCGCATAGGGGGTAGACACGTTGCTGAAATGTTTGGGGCATCTTGCAAATCTTTCGAGGTCTATGTAGTCCTGAGATTTCTTGAGATTTCAGGAGCTTTACACGGTTAATATATGGACATTATACATTGTACCATAGTGAACCATACTTCCCAATTCATGAAGAACAAAGAAACACAAATCAGAAATGGGAAACAAGTGCAGGAAGGAAGCTTATTCCCTTCAAGAAAGAAACAAGATTGTTAGCATTATCTGGATCTGATATGGGGATGTATTTTACAAAGCACTGTAAATCCTAAGTAGTTCTAAGACCATGCAAGTCTGAGGCTGAAGATTCTGTTGCAGCCTAAGGAAGAATACACAGCATTGTGTAGAATAAAATTGTGTCTAGAGGTAGTTCATATACTTTCCACCACTGCGATCTCCACTTTTGCTTTGGTAAAACGAGGCCAAGCAAACTAAGAACAAAAACATGCCCCACAAAATCAGAGGGTGATTTCACATTTCCCAGCATCCAATACAAATGACTGAATCTGATTTGGTAATATCCAATTCAAGGTTGTTTGAACATGAACTGTATGGCAAAGAGGGATCACAGTATGGGAGAATCATTAACTTAATCTACCTGCACTGTTTGTTTGATGCCTCCACAATCCAGTACAAGTCAATAAAACTTTGTGCACTGACAGACACAACTTCCAGCACCCACCAGCTGGGCCAAAATGGGATTTACTAAAGCCAATTTGCTCCTTCTTCTCTTGCTCAGCTCAGGTAAGAGTCTTTTTTCTTCTGCTTGTGTGGGTGAGATAGGGGCCGAACACTTGAAAGCTTCATGTTGTGCAAATGCGTCACCAAATCCATGTGTCCTCACTTGTATGGATGATAGTTGATTTGGGGTTTTCTGGACAGCAAGAGCTGCTGGTGAACAAAGTCAGAGCTGTGGTCTATCTGGTGCTTATTGGAGGTACTAAAAGAGCAACTACCTTGGTTTCTGCACAGGAAACAAATGACCAGCATTTGCTAACATGCCAGAAATGGGGACACCTTCCGTAAGTAGTCCAAAAGCCTCTGAGAAAATCCACAGCAGTCAGTGAGGCTGTACCTCTAATTCAGCAAGCTGTGGATCAAATTCTGGAGCTTTTTTATACTGCCAAGCATTGCCAAGCATGGTGATCCTGATTTTCATCTATTATGGCAGGAGTTTTAAAGTTTTTTTTAAAGTAATATTTAAAACAAAAATAAAAGAGAATGAAGAAAATCTCCTTGATATTCCATGGACATCACACTTTCTCTTGTCAAATTCTTAGCATAAACTGCCCTTGGGGGCAGTAGGTAAAAATTTAATCTTCAACAAACTAGTTTTTCCAGAAGTAAACCTAGAATTCTTTTTTTAACAACTTCTGAAAAAGCTAGGAGTTCCACTAAAGACAACATAGGAATTTCAAGAGCATCTGCAAGTTGTGTGAACTATCCAAGTATAAATGATGCTGGGGCTAAGAGAAAGCAGTTTTGACTTTACCATGCCTGACAACAATAACCTACCTTGAAAAATGAAATAACTAAGCCACATCACTTCTGTAAATCTGTAACCTTATACTAGGTATGGAAACAAACTGTTCTTAACATTAGGAATGGAACATGGAAAATTTGTGGTCATGAAAAAAATTAATTAGGTGACAAATTCCTTTATAAGTAAAAATATTTGAGAGCAAATTGTGAAATATATGAGCAAATACATCATTTACATCTGATGCATATGTGACTTTCAGATATAATCACACTAATTGATTCACTAATTTATAATGGAATATTCTGTTGCACCAGAGATGTAGCCTGACAAATTCATTATTAAGCCTGCATAAGCTATTACAACAAACTTAGTGGTGGTCACTGTGAAGGATTACACTGTCTTTTTATTGATTGAGATTTCTTATTCCAGGGCAAGATATGTGGGGGACAAACTGTTCAGTAACCAATGAAACTGTGGTGATTGTGGTTTCCACATAGGCTCATAATCTCACAGTCTCCCAGTTTGCAGTTCTCCAAAATTTTAGTGTTGATACTAAAATTAGTATCCCATCATTCTCTGACTGATGTTTTTTTGACAGCTTTAGATAAATGGTGACTTCACTTGCCAATGCTGTGTGAAAAGTGGGACACAAAGTCACAGATCTTCGTAACTGCAGAATTCCAATTTTTAATGCCTGATTCCTTTTCTTCTCTTGTAGTGAAAGGAGACATACTGGATGACTATTTAAGAACAGATGGTGTTTGGATACTTACTAGAAATAAAGAGTTTTACAGTACAAATAATGAAAAAGAATGTGCAGAGAAATGTGATGCTGAAATAAATTTTAATTGCAGGTAATTTCTGTTGAATCTTAATCTGCTGTTGCTTAGAAGTAAGTTTACATCCTCAAATTTGGACAGAGAGGAAAGAAATAAATAAACCTCTGCAATATGTAGCTGGAAAAAAAAGAAAGTATGAAAGAGACAAACAAGTAATGCTTTTGTTTGTTTGTTTTGTCATTTCAACACATAAGTGAAGTGATGCACATTTTCCACAAGAAACGTTGTAATAAAATAATACTGAGTTTTCTTCAACCCTTTTGCTCTACACATCCTCTTCAGAAATGTGCTACTCAGAAATCACGGTGGGAGCTTTAGCATGAGATGTACATGAACACATTTGTGTAAAGCAAGTCCACAGCCCTTAGGGAACACAAGGGACTGTCATTCAGGTGCCAGCTCCTGCGAAGTCCCTCCTGGGAGGACCCCTTGTTCTTCAGAGGTCAGGGCTAGTGGCTATGCAGACAATAGGGGCTGTCTGAGGAGCTGAAGGCACAATCTGCACCTGTAGGTTAGCCAGGATGGGGTTAGGAGCCAGGTGCTACAGCTGTTCCTGCTACAGCTTTTCCCACACCAGCATCCTCATGCTCCTGCAGCTCTGCTTACTACAGCACAATCTATGCCCTTGCCTTGTGGCTTATCTCCACCCATAAATTAGCAAAAGGTCAATTAAAGGGTGAATCTGCAATGCATCTGTCTTTCTCTACAAAAGCCCAAGTTCCTACTCTTATACAATGCTTCCTGAAGGGCTGTTTGCACTTGTTTAGCCTGATGTTGCCTTGTTTCACAAAAGAGGAGTGAGATGTTTTTAATGCGTTGTAGAGAAAGGTACTAACTTAAGCAGCTAGAATGCCATTGGCAGTGTTTTGCCAATGCTGCAGCTAGCTTCTCACACAGTTACTTACTGACATACTCTCACATCTTGAAAATGCCAGCTACTTCAAAGCAGTAGAAAATGTCTGTGTCTCAAGTATTGAGAACAGCTTCTGAAAGAGCCAGGTGGATATAAAAAGTGCTAATAAAATAATAATTTATAGAAAATTAATGAAAATTTGAAAATTTGAACTGAATTAAAGGCTGTTTCCTATGTTCTTCTCAACAGGGCCTTCCTATTCACCAAGAAAAAGCTACAGTGTTTGACACTGGCTGAAAATACCAAAACAACAGTTGTATTCCACAGTGAAGATGCAGTTCTCTATGAAAAGAAAAGTATGTATATAGTATGACACTACACATTTATACATTTAGTCTATTTTTACTGCATCCTTGCATTCCCTGCTGCAGTGCTGGAGAAAATGGTTGAAGGTGGTAACAGTTTCAGCGAGGTGAGCTTGAACCCATTATGAACTTATCTGGAACTGCCAGAGAATTCCCCGTTTAGCACCAAGGATTCTTATATATGACTTGAACTGGACTCAGTCAGATCTCCTGTAGTTGTGTGTTACTACAATCAGGCATAATAAACATAGTACAAAGCAAAAATCATGCCTTTTTCTTCCCACTCAGTATTTATTGTGTTTACTTAGAAGAAATCAGTAGAAATGAAGATTGTAGCCAGTGCCTCAACATTTTAAATCTGATACCTTTTACTAAAGTAAAAATTGACCTGTTATCTTTTAAATTAGAAATGGATAAAAGAGGAGTTTCTGCTGTACAATTCTTCGGCATATATATTGAAACCAAATATACATATACATAAGTAATTAGATATTAAATTGAAATTAACTCTTCTAAATTAATAAATAATATTTGACCCAAATTATATTCTGTAACAGAGAGCTAGAAAGTAACACTGGCATAAACTAGCATAAATCAAGACACATCCCTAAATTCTTCTGTTCTTTACACCGCTTGCCATTGTCCAAGCTCTTCTAAACTTCTGAAACATCTGAAGAGATATACTTGGTCCTCATGTTATTACCAGAGGATGTGATTTTTGTATCCAGGAGCCTTCATCTCTTCAGAAAAAGAGGAAACATCAATTTATTTTTTATTTTTTATTTTTTGATGTCTTCAATCCCAAATTTCATCCCACTGACCTTCCTGAACTCAGATATTCTATGTTTCTATGACTCTATAATTTGTAGTCCCTTGAAGGAATAGTTGCATGACACTTATACCATGAATGTGCTTATGAAAAATACATGTCAAGGAATCTCCAGAGGTCAGTGAAAGACCTTGTTTTATATCCCAGTATTATGATAATGTAATATGCAATTCGTAGTTGTAACTTGTTACATCTTCTTTTCTAATCTGACTTTATTAGCTTCATAAAGTGCTTTAAGAATTTTCTTTTCTAGTTACTTATTCACTTCTAACTAATGCATTTTTAAATACCTTACAGAATCACATCTCTGTGTTCACATGTGCGAGAGGTTCAAAACATATCTAAACTGATTAACTTCAAAGTTACATCTGCATACTCTGAGTTTTAAGAGATGTAATGTTGTAGCATTACTGAATTTAAAAAAAAATCAACAAAAAACAATTCAATTTCAGTTTACCTTCTACAATGTAAAAGAGGGATTGGGGAGGACTACAGAGGAACAGAAGCCAAAACTTGGAGAGGTGTTCCATGCCAGAAATGGGCAGAAAAATCACCCCACAATCCAAAGTAAGACCTTATTTATATTTGTCTTCATATTGTTCTGAATCATTTCCAAGCTTTCCCAACTTTACGTGTATAAACAACTTCATATTGCAAGTTATTGAAGTGACATTTTAAGACAATTTTCCGCTCTTGTATTAGTTTTGATTCAGAGAACTGTAATGGTCTAGATAAGAAAAGGCTGCATTGTCAGCTGGAGAAGTTTTGTCCACTCACTGTGCATCTTAAGAAGGTGAAATGCTTCTTCCACCAAAACTGAATGAATGTTTTATTACCGGTGACACAGAGGCCAGAATTTCTTCTGTTGGAGATGTGAAAACAATGAGCAGTGGTGTCTTTCCAGGTCTCTGACTCCCCTGCCAGCCCATGTTCTAATGAAAATTGGAACCACTTACTTGGATTTGTAGTTTAAAAATCTTTTAGTCTTCCCAGGAGGATTGCTATTGCAAAATTCATCAGAAGACTTCCTTCAGTCTCTGCAAGTTTGGATCCAGTTGCACTAGCTTGCTAGCCTCCAGAAATACTACACTTTTAAAGTAGGTGTCTTAGGAAAAATAGATCACAGACCCCAGGCTGCAATGAGTTGATTAGACAGCTGGATTCATGTAGTAGAGATGATAATATTTCTTTGAGATTTGCAGAGTTCTTATAGGCTGTATGCTCACTCATCACTGGCAATTGGGGTCTATGAAGAGATTACTTGAAGAGATTACTACTGATGATAGTTTAGAAAATGATCTTCAGATTTCATTTATGGAGTAGAATTTGGAATCTGTTTCTCTCATTTCTACTATGAATGAATAGAGCCCAAAAGGAGCTGAGTATGTTTGACATATCCCTTCTGCTCTACTGAGAGAATTGTATTAAAATATAATTTTAATACTATTACAGCTTTACACCTGAAAAACACCCCAGAGCAGAGTTGGAGGAAAACTACTGTAGAAATCCTGATGGGGATATAAGAGGACCCTGGTGTTATACAACAGATCCTGCTACCAGATTTGATTACTGTAACATTCCAGAGTGTGAGAGGCAGGTCATGCAGACTGGAGAAGGTATATTTATTTTTCTGGGAATGGGTTTTCAGCAAGGACATAATATTATTCCTGCTGTTTTTTCTTATTTTATTATTGCAGGTTGGTTTCAAACATGATTTTAGGTCAAGCTGAAACTTTAGAAGATACAGAGGATTTATTTTTTTTTTTAGTGATTTGCTGGTATTGCTTTGCTCTTACTGATTTATTTAATTTTAACAAGAGTAAAGACTAACCCAATTTCTGTGTTGCATATAAAGACTCCAGTGCAATCAGCACATGCAAATAAAGTGACAAAGCACTCTCAGCAGATGATATCTATCTCTAAAGCTTGATTCGTCTGACTAGGCTATCATTCTGAGTCTTCTGGATTCCTTTAATTATTCTTTAGGGCAAAACCTTCTAGAAGAACAAAAAGTTTCTATTATTTCTGTTTTCCTGTCAGTGTAATCTTTCATGAGGATCAGAGTTCAAGGGCTGGTGTGAACCTTGTTTTGTTTTCATTCTACATAGATCCTACAGTCGAGTGCATGGAGTGTAATGGTGAAGATTATCATGGAAATGTTTCCAGAACAGAGTCTGGACTTGAGTGTCAGCGCTGGGATGCCCAAGAACCTCATATGCATGGATATACCCTGAAACAGTGAGTCATTCTCAGTGCTGTGTTGCCCCACTCATTCCCACAGTGCTTGGGGGACCCTGCCTGCAATCATACTGCCACAGCTATCCACAAAGAACTCATAAGCTCATCTTTCATTTTCAATGTGCAGCTTTCCAGGGAAGGACTTGAAAATGAATTACTGCCGTAATCCAGATGGTGAACTTCGGCCCTGGTGTTTCACCATGAGCCCCACTAAGCGCTGGGAATATTGCAACATTCCTCGTTGCAGTGAGTCTGACTCCTTGAGATCGCTCCATAGAGTAGCTCTTGTAATTAAAATAATGCAGGGAGGGGAAAGACAAGAGGTGACAGTTGTGAATATCCTGAGGATGTCCTTGTGAATATGAGAAAGTATACAGAAATGAGCAGAATCATTCACTATGCTACTATTGCATAAAATCATATATAAGGTGATTGAGAGTGCAGGTGCACAATGCCAGAGGTGTTATGGAAACTGATTTTCTTAAACAACCATACTTTTCAATTCACCTGAAAGGCAGGGCATTCTCTCTTCAAACACTTTGCTTTTCCAGTTACCTGAGAAGGCAGAGTCATGAGAAATGCATTAGCCTCCATGGCTGTATTGCGATATTTTATCTGAGTCTGACCCACAGAGGTAGAACTGCCTCTTTCCTAGAGAGGGATAAGTCCTGAGAAACAAGTTCAGGCCTCAGGAGAAAACTTAATTCAATTGTTAGCTAACTTGACCATGAAGGAGAACACACTAGTTCTGGACATTTCCAAGGCACTAAATAATGATATTAGCACTGCCATTATTAGAAGTAGACTGCACTTTGAGAAAATACTTTGTGTTTGTATAAGAAGAGCTTGCTTTCTTAGCATCTGCTCTTGCCAGTGCTGTAAGCAGCAGCATTTGTTTCATAGTTCATTTCAGCAATCACAATTACAGGTATGATGAAGTTGTGAAAGATACCATAGCCTCTCCATTTTGTGCTTAAAACTTTGAGTTTAAAGAACAGACCCATCATTTGAGTCCCATTTTTTCTGCTCTGGGAATTACCTATACAATGGATATGTAATATAAATATGTTTCCTTTTCTTTTACCCTCTTCAGGTTCTGTGGTTCTATTCATTGCTTTTATTTTGATGTTCCTCATATGCCAAGCCAATTCATTTTCTCTCACTCTTTCTTCTGTCTCACAATCCCAATCCACTGACTCCAGAGCCGTACCTCTGAAGTAACCTCATTAGTGACTGTTGTAAAGGGGCAGACACAGGGCAACCATTAGGCAGCCTGACTGTTAGTGAAAATGCGTGCTTTTGATTTGCCATGGCTTTTCACCAGCATAATCTCTGCTGAAAGAAAAATTTGCATGTTACCATAGTAGAAAGCATAGAAATATTTTTTTTAATATAGTTGAAAGCATTGTCTAGCTGCAATTTTTCTGTTCTTCACTTTTGTTTTTTTTAAATCCTGTCACAGCTGTGCATCCACCAACCTCTGGCCTGGGCTCCCAGTGTATTTCAGGGAATGGAGATGACTACCGAGGCAGAATAGCCATCACTGCATCAGGAAACACCTGCCAGCATTGGAACACACAGTTTCCTCACAAACATGGCTGGATTCCTGATAGATACCCCTGCAAGTATGCTGAGCCTCCTCATTCTAGCAAATACGCAAGAATGTGGTTTTCCCTTAGTGATCCAGATAAAAAGACAAGAGGAGCAGTTACACTGATAAGCTGTTTTCTCTCTTTTTATCACCTCTCACTACTGCTATTCAGGCCTTGCCCTTCATTTTTTTTTCTGCACTCCTTTTTTTTTAACCAACTTAATTCTCATGTACTTATGTCACCTATACTTGCATTCCTTCTCATCCCACTGCAGTTGTATTTACTGCTTTTACATTAACAAAACCCCTGGTTGTGTTCTTTGACACACTTCTGATGTGCTACGCTTCTGAAAAGCAATGCTCCAAGGCTCAAGATGCTCTAATACTTCCCTGTGCTCTGAGGTCAGTGAAGCTGGGTCTGAAGAGCATTATCAATGGGCTCAGGTAGCTGGAACCAGCCAGGCTTTTAGCTGTGTTCCTCTTTGGGACCAGTAGGTTGTGAAATGGATCCTGTGAGATTTTCTGGGCATGCAAAACCCTGTCCATCATCACTGCAGATGGCTGTTGAGAGCAGAGAGCTCCTTGCACCATGTGACATCCAGCCTTGCCTTGTTCTTGCAGTAGGGAGTCAAGTGCACTAATGGCTTGTGTTTTAAAGTCAGCTATTACTGCCCTTTCCTAGTCTCAAGAAAAGAGGAGAAAGTGTAAGCATCATAGAAACTCTTCATAGGACATCATCATTTAGACTATAAATTCAATGGCTGTTGACTAGCTAGGAATAGTGGAGAATGAGGTAATGTACCTGTAAAAAGAATGAATATAATCACTGACTTCTGCATGCACCAATTGTGAATAGTGTTGTACATAACTGGTTTTTACTCCAGTGAGTTATTTAAAGTGAATGTTTCTGTTTCAGGGGTTTAGAGGAAAACTACTGTAGAAACCCTAATGGAGAGAAGAGGCCTTGGTGCTACACCATCAACAGCAGTGTCCGGTGGGAATACTGTGCAGTTCCCCATTGTGATGGGATAGAACAAAGTGCTGGTATGAGTAGTGGAGTGCACTTAAGGACATCAAAGCAGAGACACACTCCTTGCTTCTCTTTGCGAAAAAAAAAAAAAAAAAAATAGTAAAAGAGGGGACAGTGGCTTCCAAGGTCCAATTGTAACAAAATCTCCTGTGAGGTACCCATTGACTTAAGCAGAGAAAACAACAAGAAAATTGTTAAATTAAAAGGATAAAAGGAGGTCAGAAATTTAACATAATCTGTATTCTAGAAATAGAGACAAAATCACTAAGATCTCTCACCTTTGAGGAGTTTTCATTTTCAACTCAAACATTTCCACAAATGCCAAAATGAAACAGAGGAATGCACCCTCCACTGGTCAGCATCTGATGTATGAGGATAATCTATGAAAGTTCTAAATAACTTTGGAAATGCCCTTCTGTTTTTCACACTGGCTAACGTGCTCTCGTAGGAAGTCCACTGCAAAAATAAGTCCATCCTTTTTCTTCTCTTACAAATTCAATGTTTTCTTGTGCCTACTCAATACAATCATAAAATCATGATGCAAGAGATCTATTTCTGTTTTCTGCTGCAGATGTGTCTACACAGGTAGTCTTGCCAGAGGAGTGCTATCAAGGCAAAGGCCTGAATTATCGTGGCACAACTTCCATCACTGTATCAGGACGGAAATGCCAAGCCTGGAGCTCCAAGTCTCCACATGACCATGGAAAGACCCCAGAAAAATTCCCAAATGCGTATGTTTATCTCACTTTTTTTCTCTATCTGACAATGACCAGTGCTGAAAATGAGACCGATTTTGTTATCTCAGTACATCTATGCTTTAAAACACTGATAGGGACTGTATCTATAAAAGATAGTTTCTTTCACTATAATTTTACCAAGATTCAGAAAATATTTCTTACTAGCCTCATGTTTCTAAGCCTGTTATTTTCCTGTTATTTGAATTCTTATTAAAATAAATTTGTGTTCTTTTATTCATAAATCTGAACTGGTGTAACCAAATCTGAGAGGCCTGTACCCAGAGTTTAGGCATCTGCTGAAATATGCATTTTATTTAAGAATTTGAGAGCTCTGCAGTACTTGTTTTCTACTTGTTTTACCTGGGGAGAACAGAGCATGTATGTTGCAAAACACACGGACAAGAACATCATGGTTAGAGATACTATTTGAAACTTTCTTTGTGGTTGGAACTGGACATCCCTAATTGAATTCCCTGAATTTTCTCACTTGACTTGCTTACTTTCTTCTCCAGAATAGAAATACTGGATTAGTAACAGCTTAGAGAACTAACCATAATTACTAATGTGCCGGTTATGTAAGCACGCAAAAACAAGAGAATTGCTATGATACCCGTAATTGCTTGATGGATCACGAGTATAGGTGGGAGCGAAACGGCTGGGGCCAGGCTCCTTTTGGTGGTGCCCAATTGACAGAACAAGGGGCAATGGTCACAAGCCCAATCATAGGAAGTTCCATACAAACATGAAGAAAAACAAGGACTGAAACACTATGACCAGAGAGGCTGTGGAGTCTTCTTATATGGAGATATTCAAAACCTTCATAGATGCTTTCTTATGTAGCCTGCTTTAGCAGGGGTCTGGACCTGATGATCTGCAGAGGTCCTTTCCAACTGCTATGATTCTGTGATGGGCAGGAAGGTTACTACTTTTAAAAAATTTCTTCTTCTTTTTTTTTTTTTTTTTTTTTTTTTTTTTTTTTTAATGATGCCATCCTACTTTTCAATTTCTGTGACTGATTTTTTCAGCCATATTTTTTTGTCATTGAAAGTTCTTACATATTGAAACTGAAACATCCTCAGAGGAGACACTGTTTTTCACAGACATTTTAAATAATTGAAAAGCAGCTGTGAAAATGTGGAATCAGTGTGTCCTGGAATTTTTTTTTTTTTTAAGTATTTCAGTTTTCTGGGGATGGGAAAATATTGCAATTCTGCAACTTGCCGGAGAGAAGAATTCCAGTTTCATTCACCCCAGCAAATACTGTGCACTCCCTGAATTACCATGTGTTTGTTTGTTATTAAACAAAGTTAATAATAATAGTAATAATTTGCATGAGTATTCAATTTCTATTCTTCTTCATTTGAGAAAGAACCCTTTGACATTAAAAAAAGAAAAATCTTCCAGCATATTTATAGCTAATTTGCACATTCACATGATTATGTATGCTCATATATATGTACTTTGAAATAAATTCATTGTCATAGCTGCCATTTATTTAGCTACTCAGCATATAAACATATTGCAGCCAGAATTTAACTCCAGTTTTATCTCAGTCATAGATGTTTTTGGTGGTAATAATATATCTGGCAATAAGTGAAAGAATTAAAAAATGTGTTTATCTCTGTGTAGTAGATAGCTTTTTGGAAAGGCATTCCTGTGATTACTTTCAGTCTTATGCAGCATGAATATTTGTACTTATTTTTGCAGGGATTTGAGGGAGAACTACTGTAGAAATCCAGATGGTGATAGCCGCCCATGGTGTTTCACCACAGACCCCAGCGTTCCATGGGAGTACTGCAGTCTCAAGAGATGTGATGATCAAACTGAGGAAGCCACGCCAAACGACCGCCCTGCAACAATGGCACAAACTGTTGGCCTGAATATCCCCCCCATGACATCTGGTAACAGCTGGCATTAGCTGTCACCTCCTCTACAGTCTATGGATCAAACAAACGGCAATCTAACACAATTATTCTTGAGTAGTGCTACAACAAAACAGGCACATCTGTCCTCCAACAGTCACAACTGTGTTACTGAATTTTGCAGCAAGTTCTCCTTAACCAGAGTATATCTTGCAACCTGTATCATTTTACAGTGCATTCTAGGAGATATCATCTTCGTTTAGGAGAATGAATGAAAACAGAAAACACTTCTAGTGTTTCTGTAGCTGTGTGCTATTGAAATACAACGATAATAAATTTTCAGGGAATTTTCTTTGTGCCTTGCTTTATTGTTTTTAGGAGGTTGTTCTAATCCTCTTGTATTGTTCATAGGCAACTGTGTTTGTGTTTGTGTTTTTCAAAATGTGTACACCAAGAGAAGTAGGCTTCTTCTCTATCCTTCTTTATTGCTTCCTTAATTAATAGCCTATGTTGGTCAAAGCAGTGTGACTTTTCTGAATGCTCCATAAAGCTCCACTGAATAATTGTGTTGCAAAGGAGGGTGACAGGGCTGGATAAAAGATTCATTTCTAAAAGGCACTGTGTACTCTTACATGCAGAAGGAGGAAGTACCTGAAGCAACTTTCTTGGAGACAACAATTGCTTTCTCAGTGTAATGGGCTGCTAACTCTTAAAGATGATTTACTCATCAAAGGTGCTTCCTAATTTTAGTTTAACCGGGATCTTACAGTCTTCAGATATTACAATATGCTTCAGAAAAATGTCAGCCTGCAGTTCCTTGAATATATTGGTTTGCAGTTCATTTACTCTATGTGTCCAAGAGAACATCTTGACAGGCAAGAGATCACAACCCTTTCTGCTAAAGACAGTAGAGAATGAGGAAGTCCTAAAAGTACTTAATCTGGCTTAGTTCTGCTTTCCGCAGCACCAGCACGTACAGATTCAGTAGATAACAATCATCTCCTTTTCCCTTTTTTCACAGACTGCATTAATGGCAATGGTAAAGACTACCGTGGCACAGTAGCAAAAACTGGAAATGGCAGAACTTGTCAAGAGTGGAGTTCTCAGAGCCCTCATAGCCACAAATACTTCACTCCTCTGACTCATCCAAGGGCAGGCCTGGATAAAAATGTAAACATCTTCTACTGCTACTGGAGTTGTTGAACATTGACTCCCTTCTCCATGACTCCTCAGCAAACATTTCACGTTGAGCCTAAGTGTACTTGCAAATCATTATGCTGATAACCCATGCCCATAGCAGTGGTGAAGAGGGAAAGATGCATGTTATAGTACTTAAGATGTTGGTATTTCAAGCGTAGATGTACAACATAGAGCTGATAAGTACTTCCCTTATTTTTGCAAGCACCAGAGCAAAGATTTTTGTTGTCTGTCACCAACTGAGCAGGCTTGTGGCAAACTCTCAGGACTAACCTAATTTGCTCTCACTAATTTCAGTGGAAGAGGTATTAGGGCAATAGTAAACGCCTTATTTCAAAACACTTAGTCATCCTATGTCAAACTTAATTTAAAAAGCACTAGAGTTAGGCTGACTCCTGGTGGATTCAGAAAATGATAGCTGCGTTATCATATTTGTCTAATTTTACAGTTGGTTTTGATATACAGAAAATAATGAATTTTGTTGAGAGGATGGATTTGTTTAGAGGAATTTTGTTTACAAAGTGTTTAACATGCAGTGAGGAAGTGATTGGGGAACACAGTTCAAAGTTTCAGGTTAATATCTTTAGAAAACATGCACTTATAGACTTCTTCATAAAGTGGCTAACATTTGCAGTCTTCATTCTTTGTTTTTGTAATTGTTACAGTACTGCAGGAATCCTGATGGAGATGTAAATGGTCTTTGGTGCTTCACAACAGATCCAGAAAAAATATGGGAGTACTGTGAAATCCCGCGCTGCTGTAATTATCCTTAAAGACTTCTCTGTTCATGGCAGTTACAAAAAGTTTTAAATTTAGCTACAAACAGCTGGAGTAGGTAGTAACTTTAGATTTCAATGTAGGGCAGTTAGACCAAACCAGATGTCTCTAATATTCAGCCATTTAGATAACCTGGTGTTGAGAATCCTCAGTAAGATCTCATAGATTCATAGATTCATGTGTTCTTTATTATCAGAGAAGCTGAGCACTTAGGGCTGCTACATGAATTTTAAATACCTAATGAAGCTGTGAAAAGATGTCTTTTTTCCCAGGAGTCCTCAAACAAAGGTGAGGATTTCCTTCATATGCATGCTAGTTTTACCATGCACTTTGTGGCAAGACTAGTGCCTTGAGAAATGGCTAATAACATTTCTGTTAGTTTGGAGAGCCAGAGATTAAACAAAAATCGTTTTCATAATCCGCTGACATAAATTTTCTTCTGACCTGGATGTAAAAATAGTTTGTCCCTAGACAGTTTGCTTTTCTTTTGGGGTAGGGAGTGAATTTGGTCCAAGATATTTTATGCAGATTTCCTTAATTCAGTCTTTTTATTTATTACACTGAGCAGCTGTAGTGTCTCCAGAAAATTCAGCAGCAAAAGATGTCTTAACTTTTGTGGTGCCCTAGGAATTGATGCCAGTAATAGCTCTGGTGTACTGATAATGCTACTTAGGTCACAAAGGCAACTCACTTGCTTTGCTCTTTCCATCTTTGCCTGAATTTTGACAGATGTTTGTGTATCCATATACCTGTATACACATATATATGTACACACCCATACATGTGTATATATGTAATGAATCCATACATATGTATAAATATAAAGATAAATACGTATGCATAAGTGTTTGTGTGTGTGTGTATATATATATATATATATGTTGGGGATATGGAAAGTCTATTTCTTCTTCATCTCATGTATTATTTGTACTACTGTAACATCTAGAGGCCAGGACTCTACTCTGACTGTGTAGCAATGCATAATAGTGAAGACTGATCACTCCATTACAAGTATGTAATATTTGTCAAGCTGGCCATCTAGTGTATTCATCTAAGCAGTGATAAGTTACAATCATGCACATCAATTTTGCCAACCAGACCTAAGAGCTGCGCAGATAAAAGATTACAAAATGTTACACAAACAATAGGTACCACATCTTATAAACAAACCTGCTCCCTGGAATTGCTGTGATGGAACTTCACTTCTGAGATCTGATTTCTTATCAAAAGAACTGTGGGATACTCGATTTTTAAATTAAAATGTCCGTCTTACAGTCTGTTGCCTTTGATTACTAATTGTGTCATAGTAAAACTAACATTTCACATCCATATAAGCATGTAGCTCAGGAAGGCATTACTTGGCTCCTTAAGGAAAATCCAAGCTCAATCTATTGGGTTAACAGGAAACAGAATTATAAGTGTGAGAGCAAAATTGGAAAATTTTGTGACAAGGGGACAGAGAGTGAATTTCTTTTATAATTCAGTGATTGTTTTAAACCAAATCAGAGTGTAGCCTGTAAAGTTTAGAAGAATTTAGGAATTCTTATTGTATTGAATTAACCTGGCCAATAAACTTACTTCATTTAGCTCTCTCTTCCCTTCAACTTCCTACTAAATTTTTTCTATTTAGATAGGACTCATTGTAGTTTTACTTATGTTATCTGACCATACCTAAATCTTTGATGCAGCTGGTAATTTTTGTCAGGGAACTTGATTTCTTGTCAGGTCAAATACCATGTATTAGCACCGTGTTGAAATGTTTCAGATGATGCAATCCAAACCAACATAAACAGTGAAAATCCAAAGAAAATATAAGAAGCCTCATCTCTTTCTCTTTCCATCAGATTACACTGTGATTGGCATTACAGAAGTAAACCAAAATTCTTCATTGTAGCTTTTTTTTTTTTTTTTTTTTTTTTTTTAACATTGTAGCTTCTTCTGAGCATGACTGTGGAAAATTCTCAATGAGAAGTGAGCGGACCTGTGAGCAGTACAGCATGTGTGACGCATCTCCAGGGTCTTGGCCTTGGCATGTCAGTCTCAGGACAAGGTAATGATACTCCAGACTGTATCACCATCCATGAACACCAGGGTTTCACAAGGAACAGGCATTAGAAAGGGATTGGTACAAAACAATGTATATGATTCTGGAGACTAGGTTTATTTTCTATATAAAATACCTTAACGTATAAAATTAACTTTTTTCTTTCTTTTTTTGGGGGGGCATAATGTTCACAGAAAGTTTCTGTTGGGTCTTTAGCACAAAAATTCCCACTTTCTTCTGAATATCTAGAGAGCAAACTTGAACTACAGATACACTTAGATTTACTGAAATGGAGAAGGACTAAGTCTCATAGAAGGTAATGACAGTTAATTGCATTCTGCAATGGGGGGAGTTAAGCCCAGAAATATTCATATCTAAATTTCTATTGTGTTAGAAGTTATGTGAAGATTATCACCGCTCTGTACAAAAATAAATGTGGTATGGCATTTCCACCACCACAGAGTGGTAGAACAGGAGATGAAGAAGTGCTTACAGAAAGGCTAGTGAAAGCTTCTACACAACTGTTGACAATCATTATTATAAATAATATCCCAAGAAAAGTTAAAAGTCTATAGCAAGATCCATGCAATGATCTAGTCCAAGGTAATCCTACAAATAAATAGGATGTATTCTTAATTGCTTCTCAGGATAAACCCAGTACGTCACATGTGAAATTGTTAAGAAATGCTAATTACTTTCAATAAATTCCTGAAAGCAACAGTGGCCTGTCAAAAGAAACATTCTCTTGCAGTTGACATAAGGCAATCTCTGAACAGTAAAATATTTGAATGTGGGGCATATTGTTTGTTCGCTAGCTTTTCCCACTGCACACATCACAGTTGGTATCAAATTGACTGTGCGGTCTTAGATTAATAAGGTTATTGTATTCTCTGTTCTAGTACCAATATGCATCATTGTGCTGGCACTCTGATACATCCACAGTGGGTCCTTACTGCAGCTCAATGCTTGCAAGAGTAAGTATCAACTAGAATGAGGGATAGGTATTTCTTGCAGCTGGATGAGAAAATCAATCAGAGGCACAAAATGTAACTGACTGGGCACTTGTTGATCTTGAGGGATGGTTGCTTGGCCTGCGCTGCATCTGCACTATCTCTCCAAGTTAAAGCAAGCAAGCAGTATCTCTAATGTCTGAAGTAAGCAACTGTGTGTCTTGGAGAATCACTTTCTAAGTTAAAGCTTTTATAACATTGATGACTGATGGCTGAGAAAGATGAAGCGGCTCTTCCTAAATTCTTCTTCTGAGATGTAAGGATTTTCTAACGGTGCAGTTAATGTCATTGCATTGCCACTGTCATTTCTTCCAGGTCAGTAGAGCCCTCTTCCTACAGGATCTTTCTTGGAATACAGAACCTAAATGCAGAAGAGCCATCCCTGCAAATCCGAAGCGTTCACAAATCACTGAAGGAACCCAGTGGAGCAGACACTGCTCTGCTAAAGCTGAACAGGTACTGTTTCAAGCAAAGCTTTCCATTCTCTCCTTTATTCTGAAGTCATGAATTATTTTAGCCCAGATCTGTGTGAGAGTATATTATCTTAGGGATCTGCTCAAAGGCAAATTCTAGCATCTCTCCTGCTGAAAGACCTCACTGGCAGAACATGTGTGAGCTTAGCACACATGCTACACAGCTTAGCAAAGACAATCTCAGGAAAGGAGGGATTGCCATGGGAAATTCCACTTAGCACCTGCTGACTGGAGGTCCACTGAAACAGAAAGTATAGAAATAAATCCAAGTAGAATTCTGCCTGGAGGATCTTCTGCTGAGCTTTGAGAACCAGTTGAAGTTTTGGCTAAGAGGCACCAGGACTTCTTCTGGGAGCAAGTGGAAATGTCCAATTTCCCTGCCAGTGCCGTAGGCCAGGCCACATGCACGTTTTATAAGCATCATAAGCTTGATATACAGGAAAAATTGACGTGCATAATTGTCAATTCCTGAAGTCCACATTTGTGTCTTTCTTAGACATCTGAGCAGTCTGCTCTGAAATCTGTGCATTTATTTCAATTTTATTTTTTCCTTTAGGAATGATCCCATACGTTTTCTTCTTACTCATCAGTTTTCCTCTTGATCTTCTGCTCACCACTTAAGTTGAAGAGCATGAAAACTTTGTGTTTGACCTGAGAGGACTTTTCTTTTTAAAACATCCACCATAATATTTTCAGTTTTAATGAACGTAGAACAGTTACTTTCACTTAAATTTCAACTCAGACTCTCTGTTTCTCAGTTAATGACAATCCCATTAATTTCAATTGAGTATAAAGATCTTGTGCTTCATCAGTTTTTTAATTTGCTATTGCTTGTGACTAATTTGTCCATTCCTTCTTCAATTGCATGCTCTGTGCACTTATGCATGCTATAGCACTATCATCAGTTTTGCATTGATAATCATCACCTGAACACTTCCTGCATGCCATAAATAACAAATGTGTCTGGATAGTGATCCATCATTTTCTATCTTCAGACAACTTTGTCTGAGAGTTGCTGAGGGACTGAACAGCCTAAAGCAAAGACCTCCATATACAATGTCTTCATTCCCTGAATAACTTTCTCAGGTCCCTGTCCATTCCTTGTCAAGCTTTATTCCAATGTTGAAGCTTTGAGGCACTATGCTATGATAAGGAAGAGTTTTATTTTCATATTTATTTTTTGAAGGAAGTAGGATGTTTGACAGTGTGTGAGATCCAAAGTTGCATCAGCCATGTAACCAGAAAAAAAGATTTTTCTGTAACTTTAGCTATGTCTCCTTATTTAATCCCTTATCATTCATTCCACTTCTTACGAAGTCCCTGGAAATGTTCACAGCCTCTGAGTTACAGAGGATCTGAGAAATCAGGATCACTGCACCTGCAAGAACTGTTACAGTTGGGCTTAACATTGTGCATGTTACTCTGACTGAGTAACTTGCGATCAGCTCTCTAGCACTGCGCTGCAAATACGCTCACATTATGTCCTTGCCCACAGATGTATCTCAGAGACTTTCAATTGCTGGTAGGTAACTTTTTTCAGGAGCAGATCAGACACCATTTTATAATCGTCTGTACAGTTTCAAAGTATCATCTTCTTCTTTACCTTTCCCCATCTCTCCACTTTCTTGCAGAGCTTACTGAGTTTGAAGACTGAACAAGTGGATGATCATTTGTCTAAGTATCTGTTTTTGTTGGTTTGTTTTCCAGTCCTATAACAATTACTGACCGTGTAAAACCAGTTTGTTTGCCTGAAACAAGTCTGACGATGGAAAGAAACTCTGTATGCTTTCTAACTGCCTTTGCAAAAACAAAAGGTAAAGTATATTCAGAGGGACTGAAAATTAAAGGGGATTCTCAAATCTTTTCCTAAAATACATATACTTTTGTGATCTGAAAAAAAAAAAAAAAAAAGCAACAAATTTTGCAGAAGACTTAACTAAGTCAGAAATTACCAGACAATGTTATTCTATTTCTTTCTCACCATGTACACACATTTTGCCTCTCTGAACATGTGAGGAATGCCTTTCCCACCTCATGTGCCAGGCAGCACCTTAGCAATACTTCACCTGTAAAATGAAAAAACAGAAGTTTCTTAGTGCATGCATTCATAAAATTAAAAGAAAAAAAAATCTCAGCAGAGCAGGTTTCTGCCTCTCTGTTTCACCATAATAATCTTTCACATGGGTTGCAATGCTTCTTTCTCCTTCTTGTGTCACTTAGCTCTAAAGCTGCTATGAAAATAGTGCCTAGCAATAATCACTCTATCGGTGGCGTGGTTCATCAGCATTACCAATAACACTTTTCTTCATTGCAGACAGGGTTTTCTTGTTTACCGTGCCACACGGTGGCAGCAGCTTCTTACGTTCATTTTATTGATCACTGCCACAAGAGAAGGGTACAGTCTAGTTTTCGACAGGCCATTATAACATTTAAGCTATAGCAGAAAGAGGGTCCTGCCATATCATGAAATTAGTTATTGAAAAGAGGAACAGAGCCAGAGCCCCACACCTAGATACAGCGTATTCTAGGAAAATTCAACTGTTTCTCCAATCTGGTAAACACTACATTAAAACGATTTGAATTCTTTCCTTCAAGCCTCAGAGTAAATCCAAGCTGTTTCCCTTGACATAAGCCATAGCTACCACACCATAATGAAAGCCTAAAATAAATGTGATTTTTCTGCATACTAAGCATCCGTCTTTATTTTGTAACACTTTACAAGCTGGTTGTTGAGAGGAATGAACTAATTACTAAAAAAGTAAAACCTTTAGTGAGACTCCAGCATCCTGAAGTACCTACGACCAAGCTTGGAACTGATCCTAGCCCTTTCATTGTTCAGGCCTCACTGCACTGTCACAGTGCCTAGGTTGCTATTCATAACTGTTCTATTTTCTTGGTCATTCTCAAAGGTACTGATACAGGCAAAAGATTAAAAGACATTGAATTCCCCATACTTGAGAACAGAATGTGCTATCGTCCTGGATTTTTCAATGGAAACATAGATAACCTCGAATTTTGTGGTGGATTCACTTTTGTAAGAGTACATCACTGCGAGGTAAGAATAATTTAGCTTTGAGTGTGAGCAGGTCGAATGTAAATTTTTGTTTTCAGTGCTCAGAAGTAGCTTCATCTGTTCTAGGTCTCTGCATGAAATGTGAGGACTGAGGCATACATAGCATCTTTCTTCCCTTACTCTGTCAATCAGAACAACTGCAAAATTGTGTAGGGTAATTTCTTCTTCCTCCACAAAGCATATCCTGATGTATCCCGTACATACTAGTAGCCCAGCATTGTGAATATTCCATACCAGCAGAAAGTAACCCTGGGATATGCCATTTGGACTTTCCTTTGTTTGTAGAGGCAGAGGGAAACCAGTGAATGTTTCTGGTTCCCACCTGACATTCATTTTTATCATATCACTTCTTTATTTTATTCCCTGATCTAATGTTCAAAGTGTTCCCAGTTTTCAAATTTTCGTAAGCTTAAGATAAGACTTTTAAAATGTGATTTTCTTTATGGAGGATATTGTATTGGGTATTTTTCAAAACAAAGCTGATGATTATTTGGAGGCAGTCAGCAGTCAAACGCTGATCTGTCTGAGCAGGTAGTCAGTGCCACTACAAATGCTACATTCAAGAGTTTGGATGGTGAATTCATTGATATATACACAAATCACTAAGCATACGTATTCGTATCCTGCCTTGCCTGGGTTTTAAGAAACACAACCATTATATTCATTTTGTCTGGAATCAAGTAGGCTAGAGAATGGAGAAAACTAAGTACTTCCTTTTGTTGCATAGCCGGTCTCATGCTGATCTGGGGATATTCCTACACCCATGATTTGTACTTGGATCTCTCTTCTTCAAGCAAAACGAATGACTGTGTGCTTGGAAGAAAAAAAAAAAATTCCTCTTCAAATTTTTGTTAAAAAAAGGAGAAGAAAACTCTTTCTACAGCCCTCACCTCAGTTATATTCTGAGGCCTTCAGAGTTACCACAGTGTTATTCCTGACAGTATTTTGTTGTTTGCATGTCAAGTGCCTTTACTAGAGGAGTTACCTTATTCTCTTTTCTCATCCCTAGGCTGAAGTTGGAGGACCTCTAGTCTGCCAAAGAAAAGATAGATTTGTCCAATATGGAGTCACTTCTTGGGGACTGGACTGTACCCAGCCATCAAAGCCCACTGTTTTTGTCCAAATTCCTAGCTTTCTGTCTTGGATCAAGAATGTAATGGTTACCCACTGAATCTGGACAGCATTCCAAGCATGGTTTTAGAATAGAAATAATTCGTAAGAATCTTAAATAAATATCATTTTTTGCTGAGAATAAGTAGTTACTGCAAAGCAATAACCACATTGACCAATCATGACTATTTTAGTACTGTGCATGGATCAGTCAGGCACATTGAATGTGGTAGTGGCTGTCAGGTTCCTTCTTCAGACATGAGACACAAAGTTCTTTCTGTTCAGACATCCAGCATTTTCCTTTGCACACACAAGTAATTAGCCTATTTCTAGGTTCAAGGTCATCCAAAAACCAGTGCAAGAAACTCTCACCCAGACAGGCCTGGACCCATACCTATCACTGGCATCTTTCTCCCCTTCTGCTGCTCTGGAAGCAGGAAGCTAACATCCAAACCCAACCCCTGTCTTGAGTGAGAAAAAGCCAGTCTATGCTATGCCCATGCTGTCAGGAGATGGATGAAGACCTTGTGGGCTTGCTTCTCCCTCAGGCTAATTCCCCGCACTCTCACCAGCCAAGATAAGCTTTGAATTACACTGTTACAACCACTTCAACTTCCTAGGGTATATGTACACATGGAAAAAAAATGACTATCACTAAACAACTTTGTGTTGAAACAAAACTTGAAGTATGCCACAGAAAGAGTTCAGTTTGCTGTCATCCAATGCAACACACTCTCTAGTTGCAGATGTTTTATATATAACTATAGCTCTTAGCACTTCCCTACATAGCTCTCCTCTTGTAATAGTCCCTACAGTGTTTTTTGAGGTGTATGCTTAAAATGGGCTCAGTAAACTTGTCTACTTTCAGAACCTGCTGAGTGCAGTGCTTCCTTGAGTACATGAAAGGTTTGCTACTGTCTGGCGTGTTTTGTCAATTTCCTATGCATTGTTTTTCTGCCAGTAGTGCTAGTCCTTCAAAGAACATTGGCACAGATCCTTGGTAATAACTTCCCAGATGTATGAATTGTTCCTGTTTCTCTTGGTGCCTGTAAGCCACTCCTCAGTGCCAGCAGGCATTGCCTAATGAACATCTGAGGTATTTTATACCTGTATTGGTATATGCTGAGCCTCCTGATGGTCTGCCTCCCTAAGCAATACAATTGCTTGCAGAGGTTTTGTACCACCTGCCTGTAATTTGCAGATCACTGCAGCACAGATATGTACATACTCCATTTGAACCCAACAACACTACTGTTTTGAATAAACCAAAGGTTATTGTCCTTGATTTCAAGACCATTTTGCCTGGAAGCTCTCATCAGATTACTTCTTAATACTATTTGGATAGGTTTAGGTTGATGTCAGGGTAGTTCTTCCTAAACACCCTACAAATGTGACAATTTTAATGAGACTATGCATTACATTTGGAAATAGGGTTTCTTTCCAGAAATCCAAGCAAGTGATTATTAAATACCTCTACAGGATGTTTTCACACTTTCTTTGCAAAAAAGATAATGTGATATTGTAACAATCAGAAAGATCAGTGTGATGGAATGGTGATACAGGAGGTATAATGACAAAGGGACTGGCATGACAGAAAGGTGTTACAAAACAATAAGTGCTCACCCATCTCCAAAGATCTAGGCTTGCAGGAAAAACTCCACATGGGAAGGATCTCCGACCAGAGATCCTTCCTCAAATGCAGTCAGCCCTTAAATGAGGTCTAAGAGAGGTGCAGACAGGCTCCAGCCCTTCTGGGTCACACAGCTGAATTGCCTTCACCTGTTCTCCCAGGACTGACCAAGTGCTTTCCCCAGGTGCTCAATCAGTGGTTCAGGCTCTGACTCAACAGTTTCCATACAGATATGTTGCAGTCTTTTGGACATATGGCATGTGTAAGTGGCATATCTTTCAGAAATTTGAGCTAAAACATAATAGGAAATGATAAAGCTGATCAGCACATTTTCCATGCTTTCTTGTGCAAAACTCCCTGATCTTAGTTGAGGATTCCGGGGAAAACTATAAAAAAAAATTTAATATTGCTTCCAGCAAATGCATGCATACTACAAAATCTTTTTTAACTGTTTTGGTCTCTTTTATATGATAGAAGTATACAAAATCTTTTATCATTTGCACAGTGTATATTAAAATGGAACCATCATAGACTATTTATAAAGAGATATTATTGCCAGTTTTAGGCACTGGAATGTAGCTGTGGTTTAGCAGAACATCAGGTATTGCTAGATAATACATATAAACTTCAGTAAGTGATTTCAGATCTTCACAGGTACAGAGTATAAGATTCTTATGAAGCAAGTAGTTATAAATGCTCATCCTGTTTCAACGACATTTCTAAACAACTAATTTTATCACTGGTTCGCAGACATTGAAACCATCAGTAAACAACACACTACTTCAGGAACCACTGTATAATATAATGACACAATATGAATGTGTAAGTCCATAGAGAAATACCAAAAGTAAACTTTACAAATGGTAGATATTTGCAGGGGTATTTGGAGGAACTTGAGCAATTGTTGGGTTAAGTACAAAATCTGTTTCTTCACATTACCAAATTTTCCCAATTATACTCATGGTTTTTCCTTCTTTTTCTCTTACACATTTCATTTTCAATCAGTCCTAACCCTCATCCAAGGACTCCCAGTAACAGCAAACAAAGCTTAAGCAGAAGTGATGGAGATGAGCTCATCCACAATGGATTCTGCACTCTGTGTTTGTGTGTATGTCTAGAGCAAGGATGGAATTTGCTTTTAATGTGGCTGAAGAACTTCTCTTCCTGCTCCTGGCAGTTTCTGCCTTTAGAAACCATCTATGTTATCCTCTGAGTTTGTTGCACAAAATGCTCTTTGGCTCTGTTACTCAGGGCAATGCATCTCTCAATTATGTTCTGCTTTCCTATGAAAACGAAGAATATCTTCCTCTATGTCCCAACTGGCCATGTATCTATGACATACTATTACTTTCCGGAGCTCAAATAAGAGCTTTAGCTCACCCTCACCCTAGTCTAACAGATGTTTCCTTCCTTACAGTTGCCTTTTGAGAATTTCCCTTCAAAAAATTGAATCTTCCTTTCGATCCTTCCTCAAGCAATTGACATCTAACTGGCTGTTTTCTGTCTCTTCCTTATTCTGATATTTAGGAACACTAGGTCCATCTGAATTTAATACGTTGTAACCCATGTTCTGACAATGTTTGCAAATTCATTTGCAGGGGATTTTCTGAGCTTACAGTAAACCCAATTTCAAGGGTCAACTTCTATTTAAAAAGCCTTCTACCATTGTTTACATTTTAACCACTATGCTAACAAAAGTACCCTGACTCTGAAATGAGATCTGATAAACTTCCACACAAGGCCCACCTCTGTGGGCCTCACAGAGGTCAAATAAGTGAGAACAAACACTACAGAATCAAAACTGGGAAAAGATTTAGAGGACGTATGGATCTTATGAGAAAAAGAGAGAAAAAGGGGGAACACAGAAGTAGACAGATGAATCAACAGTTCACAAGAGCGCGTTTTAAACACAATGCCATGAGAGGTCATAGTGTTGTTACAAAACAGCAGCGAGGAGCATCATTGTGGGAGATGAAACACTTCTCCCATTTTGACATTTTCATGTTGAGAACTCACTCTTATACCATAATTGACTGCTGACAGTAGCTCCGCGATCAATTTTCCATGATCAAATCTGTTGAGAGAGATTATATTTCCACAAACCTGGATTATCGTATTTGAAAGGAATGTAAATCCAAGTTTTATTTTCTCAGGAGCAGCTGCAGTGAACTAGATGTGTTTTAAGCAGATTTATGACAATGAGACTGAGAGGAGAACTGTACCTTAGAGTCCTTTTTTACTTCTTCACTCAAGCCTTATCCCAAGACCTCAGTACAATGCAGTTTTGACTTAGATTAGGTGAGACAAGGTCATAGATAGCCTAACTGGTTTTTAGACGGAGCTCATAATTCTATGAACTTTTTGCCTTCAGTTGCAGAAGTCTGAACTTCATGACCCAGGACGGTCCATTCAAGCCTGTTTTCCTCATCCAGCATTCAACTCCTCCCTGCCTCAGGCAAGTCACTAGCATATTTGATTTAAGCTGTTTTGAAGCTCCACCAGTGACCTAACATGCACGAGAAACCATGAAATGGTGCTGCAGTGCAACTTTTCCAAGGCAAAGGCCACCTGGGGAATGCAGAGTGGGGCTGATGTTGAAATCAGGATAATATATAGATGAACAAAGTCTGGCAACCTCACAGGATGAGTTTAAGCATACACTATGAGGTTAAATGTCTGGGAAAGAAAAATGGCTATTCACAGATCTTAAACAAAAAGTAACAACGTCCACCACTGAACCAAGATGAACTCTTACTCCTAAATTAACAACGAAGAAAAGAAAGAAAAAGAAAAGAAAATCCTAAAGTAAAATTAAACTACCTTTCAGAGCTAACTGACTCTGATAAGATTATTTGGATCTGATAAGAGTGCTTTTCCTGAGATTAAATGGAAGGTGGTCTTCATGCATCAGTACAAGTGTGAATGGCTAAAATTGGCATTGAGACTCTAGTACTGGGAGAAAGAAAAATTCTGCCTGGACTAATAATTTCCTATGCTTTCCAACAATATTGTTCTTGTTTATTCTCTAGCAAAGAGAGACCTAACAACGTAAGAACAAAAACATGCCCCACAAAATAGGAGAGGGTGCCTTCACATTTCCCAGCATCCAATACAAATGACTGAATCTGATTTGGTAATATATCCAATTCAAGGTTGTTTGAACATTGTGCCACTCCGTGGCAAAGGGGGATCAGCATGGGAGAATCATTAACTTAATCTACCTGCACTGTTTGTTTGATGCCTCTTCAACCCAGTGCAAGTCGATAAAAACTTTGTGCACTGACAGACAACTTCCAGCGCCCGCCAGGTGGGCCAAAATGGGAATTAGCAAAGCCACTTTGCTCCTTCTTTTCTTGCTCAGCTCAGGTAAGAGTCTTTTCTCTTCTGCTTGTGTGGGTGAGATAGGGGCCAAACACCTTAAAGCTTCATGTTGTGCAAGTGGGTCACCAAATCCACGTCACCAATTACATGGACAATGGGCAAGAGTTGCTGGAGAACAAAGTTAGAGCTGTGATTGCTATGGTGTTTGCTGCAGACACTAGAAAAATATTAGCCTTGGTTTCTGCGTGGCTACCCAAATGGCCAGCACTTGCCAATATGCCAAATGGCCAGAAATGGGGGCACATTAAACAAGTAGGCTGCTAAAAAGACACGAGTATCTCTGGTTTCAGCCAGCTTTTTATCCTAAGATCATTGGTTGTTTTTTTCCCCTCTGTAATTGATGAGTATTGTGATATATATTTTGGTTCTTTGTTAAGTATACTACAAGTAGAATCACACACAAAAATAAAGTGAGATGGAGGAAAGTTCCTTCACACACTGTAGTTTCAATATTTTTCACTGCCACAGTCTTAACAGGAAATTTTTCATTCTATGTGATAGAGAGCTTCAATCAATGATGTGATTTGTGCCCTATCTTATTTCAGGTATTATCTATAACTACACAGTGTGCAATAAATGCAACTAGAATATACTCCCAAGTATGCCAGTATATGCCAAAAAGAAAGGAACAATAAAAAACAATAACATTTTTCTTACGTGAATGGAAAATATGCAATAGGTCACAGAAAAATATGTTAGTTGATTTTAGCAACTAGAAATACTATAGACAAGCCCCAACCTAACATTAAATAATATCAAGAATTTGCTAATAATGAACATTCATTTAAATTCTGATTTCTAAGCTATGTTTTTGTAGAACAGCCTCACTCAGATCAAAGAGACCTCTCAATTAATTAGGAATGTATATGAAGGAGGAAAAAAAAATAGCGCTTGGACTTCTGTCTGCAATACTCTGCTTTTGCTTGCAAATCCTTCAATTTGCTGTAAATATTTGCATTTTTGAAAAAGGCAGTAATACATCTTTTTAACAATGAAAAATTCCACAGACACTGGAAAAAGGGTAGCAAGAAAATGTATCACATTTCTATTCTGATTGCGTGTACCCTATTGCTTTCTTAAAGTATTATATATGGCCATGTAATTATAACAGAAAGTCATGACCCAATCAATATTTTTTAAAATAACACCATAATTACAATTAATAATTATATTTTTATATAATTAATTATAATTAATAATTGTCAAGATGTCAAAACATGGCAGAATTAATGTTGCAGAGAAACATAGTTGGAATTCTTGAATTTCTTGAGCGTTGCAGCTTATGACTATTTTAAACCCAGTTAGATTTTTCTTTCACAATTGGCTACATCTTAATGTCATTGTTGGTTTGAAACATCTAGGATAATAAGTGAGCCTGACACATGAATTTTATTGTATCATTTTCTGCTTTAACTTCATTTTACTTTTAATCATGCTTTCTTTTAATGCATAATGTTAGTCAACCTTCAAAGCCAGTATCTTCAGTAGCACACACGCAGAAAAAAAAAGACATTCAGTAACCTTTCTGAGTTTGCAGTGGTATGAGAGGAAGTTGTTTGTCAGAGCTAGATGGCTTTTAAGGTCTATTCCAACTTAGGTCATTCAATGATTCTAAGTATAGTCTGGCTCTTGAGTCCAATTTATCAGCTATCCATTGTAGATGTAAAATGATCATAAAGGACAATCAGAGAGTCACAGGTGTTGCAAGTGATCTCTGGAGATCATCTAGTCCAACCCCTCGCTACAGCTGGTTCCCTAGGTTTGCTAGTCAACTGCAGCCTGAACTAGCACTCAGATGAAGACATTTAGCTGTACCAAGAGGTATGCAAGTCTGTTTCACACTACAGAAGTTTTGCTCAGAAAAGGGAGAAATAGTTGCCTAAAAGACATTTCCTCAGTTTAAAAAAATAATTGAAGCCCTGGGAAGCTCCCTACTCAGAGGCTGTAGGCTAGAGCAAAATCAAACTGCCTTCTTTCTGCTGCCACTGGGCAACGGCTCAGAAAAAAAAAAGAGTTCAAGAAGATGAAGAAAGACCTTCACTTCAGCATGTTTGCACACAAGAGCAGGAAGCTGAGGTATGCATGATTCACACCCTGTCTGCCTTTAATTCAGCAACTGCATAAATCAGAACACAAAACAGCGCGCAGAGCAGGACTAGGATGTGTTGCAAAGACCACGAATCACTTGCCTGTTTGAGGTTGAAATAGAGGAGAATGGACAAATCCCAGAGCCAAATGAGTTTATAATAAAGTCATAGGCTCGTCGGATAAAGAAACTGTAATAATCACAGGACTCTTGCAACACTCTGACACTGCTGCCAGAAATCATGAAAGTCATGGTTCTACGATCAGTATTTAAGCATTCAGAAATAACATTGCTGTAAGAGGAGAAAAAAAACAAAACACCAAATGAGAGGATTCAAGAGGATTGTACTTCAGCATATATATATATATTTTTTTTTTAATATTTCTTGGTTAACGTAGGCATATTTTTTAACATCGCATATATGTCACATGCAGCCGTAGCTCAGGGGCTATATGATTAAGGTTATTTATCAGTTACTTCTCTAGTGTCAATTCACTGCAATAAAGAAAAACATCTGCTACCTTGATTATTAAGCATATATCAAGTCCAGATTAACTGACAATGCCCACAGTGAAAACAACAGTGATAGAGAATGGGCTTCTCACAAGAACATTTGGAAAAAAAACCCATCTACAATGTAACTGATAAAACTGAAATGGTTTTCTTTTTTTTTTGTGGATAGGTATCAGCTATCAACCGTTGTTTCATATATTTCCTGGGTTTCATTCCTCCACTTTCTCCAAACCATGGAAGAAAAAAAAAAAAAAAAAAAAAAAAAAGTTCTTTCTGTCACAGAAAGCACGTCACTTTCTTTTTTTCTTTATTCCCATCACCTTATGCACCAGGTCTGTGACATTTGCAATGCCTTTCAGAATCACCAAAGCACTGTTCAAGTCAAACCCTGCTTGCCCTGGGTTTTTTAGTGACACTACAATTTAACAGACTAGACAAGAAAATATTTCTGTAGCTACTGATTTATTACTGTAATTAAATGATGTGTCAAAGGACTTAATATGAAAATTTGATATTAACTATGTCAGCATTCATATTCTTACCTCTTCCTCTCTTTTTCCTTTTAGTGCAAGGAAGCATACTAGACAGCTATGTGAGGACAGAGGGAGCTTGGCTGCTTAACTCAAAGAAGCAAACTTATAAGACAAGTAGTAAAGAAGAATGTGCAGAGCAATGTGAAACTGAAACTAAATTTTCTTGCAGGTAATTTCTGCTGCTGTTTCTTGTATATGTATTTCAGATGTATACAGATGTACAGATCATGGAGAAGTCAACCTTATTTATTGACTGGATGTCAGAGGGATTTCTTAGGAATATATGCTTCTGCAGTCTCTTGGAAAAACTACTGAGATATAGAAAGTCAGTGCCTGAGAGACATAGATGAAGACAAGCAGAAGTAGAAAAAATAAGAAAACTATATTGGATTTTCATTGGAAAACAATATCTTTTGATGCACAGTTTGGCACACAGAGAACCAAGGTGACATGGTTTTATCAGGACACTTTTCACAATAAAGACTCATAATTCTTGAAAATTTAGAGCAGCGATAATTACATGCTTATGCCTTACCTATTATCCTGCAGACATGTTAATTATTCTGAATTTTACTAGAATTCAGACTTGTGTATCTTCTATTTACCTTGAGAAAAAGACAGCCATTTAAACCTGTGCCCTATTTCCACCCAAGCACTCCCTCTGCACTTGCATTTAACAAGACACTGAGGGACAGGAAACATGAACCATTAAGGGTGTTAATCAGTTTATACCACTGTCTGATCACCAGTGGCTGAAGCTGTCTAAGAAGAGCCTAATACTCTGAGCTTCAGGCTTCCAAGCCTTCCACATCTAAGCCTCAGAAGCTCCTTGAAATCTCAGCTGTAGAACAGACAACTGGAATGAGAACAGTGACTGCAGTGAGAGGCTGTTCTCTTGGATGAGGCAGGGAGATCACGAGCCCTGCATCTATTGCTTCTGCAGGATACCTTTCTGAACTCAGAATGCTGAGGATCTGCAGGGCTCATTCCAGCACTTGATTCCCTGCCAGGCCTTTATTTAAGGCAGGAATGCACTGGTGCAGACCTGCCCGCTCAATGCTATGTTGCTACTGCTCTTTGTTGAATCAGAAAAGTCAACAACAGAAATTACTTAGCCTACCAAGAGTTTTCCTTAAATATCGCTGTAAAGGTTATGCTACCTGCTCTCATTTTTCAGACTTCCATCCTAGGCCCTTGCTAAAAAGACAAATGAGCTTGCTATCCAATGTGCTTACACTGCCTCAAGTAATGGTGACTTAAAACAGTTATCAAGAAGTAATTTATGATGCTGGCTTGTTGAATTTTATCTGTTCCTTGATAACTGCTGAATACTGTAAAATATCCTGCTTCTTGCACAATCAGTAACATTTTTGCATGTACGCTCTTCAACATATTCTCTGTTGTCTCTGGCACATTATAAATTATAAATTTTTAACCCGTATCATAGTCTCCTTGTACGGCTCACTTTCAACCTAACTTTGAGATGAAGGCTTAAGAGTTAATGTCAGCACTGAAACTGGGAGATGGAACATTTGGGGCGTTGCAAAGCACTGCTGAATCTTAAACCTTGCCAAAGCACAGCACTTTCACAATGATAACTTAATGCTAGAAACAGTCTTCAGGAAAATAATGCATATATTCATCTACTGTTTCTCACCTTGCTCTCTCCTCTTAATTTTAACAGGGCCTTCTTATTCACCAGTAAAGACCAACAGTGTATAACATTGGCTGAGAACACCAAAACAGCAGTGCTATTCAGAAGAACAAATGCAGTTCTTTATGAAAAAAGAAGTACGTTTACACACTGATATCATTTCACCAAGATATTCTTTTGAGAAAGACTACCATAACACTGTTGTAACTGGGACCATGTCATCACTGGGTCATGCAATGTGATTAGAACAGCCCTTCTCTGATATCCAGTTTCTGCCACATTGCTGGAAATGCAGTTCCAGATTTTTTTTCCCCAGATTAGTGCTCCAGCATTTTTCCTGCTCCCTAAATTCTGGGGATCCACAAGGCTCAAAGAACTATTGCTCTGAGAGCACACATAGTGTTGGGAGTAAAGAAGGTGCTTAAGTGTCCCTAATCCACCTCTCCTTTTAAACCAGCCAGTAACCTATGGCTGCATCTTCTTTGTTTCTGCTGGGAGTAGTAGGAAAAGCTACTTGCACAGACTATGGATCCTGAGATAGGCACTTATCCAGTGGAAAACTGATGAAAACAAGCGAAGATTTTACATATATCTCTAAACAAGATTTACTTCTTACCCTGGGGGACAGTCAAATCAGTTTTTTCTTAGTTTCATTCATTGTTAGAATTAGAGTGTTAACCACTTTCCAGTTATAAATGGGTGCTTTTGCTCATATTTGTATATTTTAAATGATGTTTGCACTCTTCATTTAATTAATTTCGTGAAGCTTTTTATCCTAATGTACGTTTTTATGATATAATTAGTTGATGTGGCAGTACTTTGGATTCCCTTTTCGTATATGCTTTGTTTCCAGACAGTTTTGCCATGAATGAAGTCTTTTTGAGAAAAGTATATCTGATTTCCTATTCTATTCAGCAAATAGTGTGTCTTTAAGAAATGGCAATTATCCTTTTTCAACTACTTTCAAGCTACTTTCAACTTCCATAATCACTGAGCTCTTGTTACATAGATGGAAGAAGGAAATTATTTTGTTTTTAATGCAGTGGAAGATTCATTGTATCATTCTCTGACTTAATAACGCACGAAGGAGAAAAGATCTCCTTACTGATTATTCAGACACACAAGATAATCCTTTTAATATAATAATACAATAAACCTTTCAACAGAAGTAGTAAAGCTCTCTGTTAAATGACTTTGTGAACATTCCATCTCACCATTTGATGATTTCTAATTTTTTTTTCTAATTTTTTTAAACATTAAGACACTTTTAAGAGAATATTTAGAAATTGAAAAGGCACCTTTCTACATCCTTACTCCTCTGTTGACCTGCAAAGCCTTGAAAGTTATGCTAGTGTTATGCAATTAGCACACACAAGATCTTACGTACTAATTTATTAGCTTTAGCTGAATCACAACTAAGCATCCAAATAAGATTTTGTTCAGAAATTATGGAGGATGTAAGGAAAAGAATCTTTCAAAGAAGGATGGGTAAGCACTGAACCACACTAACAAGAAAGGCTATCGAGCACCCACCCTTACAGATACTGATGGACAAAGCTCTTGGAAGCCCCATCCAGCTCAGAACCTGAATAGGGAACTGGACCAATACCTCTGAGTTATAATTTCAACCTAATGTTTCTCACAATTCTTGTAGATTTTCTTCCTTGTATAATCCTTTTCACTTATACAATCTTTCCTACTCATATAACCTTTGAGAAGATGCAGGATTTTTTCTTCTGACTTTCATGCCAATCAGTACTTCCGTTTTTACTGTTTCATTCCCAGAGCTGTTATCATTTTGGGTATAATCTTGAATAACTTTGAGGTCTTAGCTAACACATAAAAGTAGCTGACAGTAATTGTGTCAAATAGTCGCATAGCCCTTTATTACAGAGTGTTTTAAATAATTACGGTCCCTATAGCAATTGTGCAGATCAATACAATAGGAAAGGCACTACAAGAGGTGCAACGACAGAAAGACCAACATGATAGAAAGGTGCTATAAATGACAGGAAGAAGATTGCTCACCCATATCAAAAGATTCCAGGCTCACAGGAGAAAGCTCCACCAAGGAGTGGCAGTTAATCCTTAGATGAAGTCTGAGAGAGGTGCTCTTCTGATCACACAGCTGAATTGCCTTCACCTGTGCTCCCAGGGCTGACCAATCCTTTCCCCAGGTGCTCAATCAGTGGTGCAGGCTGTGACTCAACAGTTCCTATACATTCTCATTCTAATGACAGTATAATTTTAATATACTGTGACAGAAACAAAGCAAAATGTAGCTTTCACCTAGATGGATCATATCACTGTTCCTAGGAGCTGCTGCATTTCAAAGAAATTCCTATCACATGTCCAACTGTTTTTTGTTTTTGCAATACTATATTGATGAAACCTGAATTTTTTTCACTTTTTTTTTGTTGGTTTTTTTTTGGTTTTTTTTTTTTTTTTGAGTGGAAGCAGTTGCTGTATGAGACTCAATTGGTCTTTACTATTGTTTTCAAAGAAAAGTATGGCATTTGGTACAAAATTTACAGCTTTCAGAATTATTTTTCCTATGGCATATAGTATAATACAGAAAGTTAAAGTTGTCTGGGTTATTGAAAAAGCTATAAGAATTAAAACCGGCTTTTGCAATTTGCTCTCTGCATTCCAGTTTGTAAATAGTTAACACAAAGGGACAATGAAACAGTCAAATATTTATACAAACCAGAAAAATCAGCATTTAACTGATTCAGTTTTTGGGTTTTTTAATGTTAATTTATTGCAAAACTCTTTGAGGGATTCCTGTTAAAGCTTTTAGAGAAAACTTGTCCAAGTATGCTTATCAAAAGGAAGGTAAGACCCATAAATCCAGTTCTAAAATACCCACCAGCACACAGAATATATGGATCTATTTTCAGATTCATGTATTCATTCTTTTCATTTTTGTCAAGGTAGATTTATGTAAGTTGACATTATTCTTGCAGATTTATGTTAATCTTGTGCTCATACATCACCTCTGCTATAACAGATGCTGAAAAAATCTGATGCATAACTGGGTCTCCAAAAATATCATGTTTTGATATTGCATAAAAACACTGAGACAAACCAGGTCACAACCTAAAAGACAGATTTCTTTATTTCTGCTAGAAGAGAGGAACTGGTTGATGAACTACACCATGTGCATTAAAAAATGTTGAATGGAGGAGAGAAAAGAGTGCTGAAGTTATTGAAAAAAATGAACTTAGGTTATTGTGTCAATCCAATATAGAATTTTTAAGAAAAAAAGCCTACCTTAACTGACCAGATTAGGGACTAACAAAAATCATTTTTTCATCTGCTAATAAACACAAAAGGTAATAACACTAAGAAAGATTTAGTAATACTGTAGCCTCATTGAGGCTATATTTTTGATATAGAATATGAGACTTTTTGGAAAGTTTTTTTTCATGTTAGGTCTTTTTCACATCATATCCATGCCAACAGCTGCACTACTGCAGCTGTGAAGGCAATGTGATGAATCCTTAGGAAAATAAGATGCTGTGGATAGTCAGGAATACTTCAAACCAGTATTGCTGCTGAACCATATCCTCTCCTACCTTCTCCCCTCCCTTCTCCCTCTGCCTCTCCCTCTTCCCCTTTCCCTTTTCCTTCTCCTTCTTTTTGTTTTCCCTTCATTTTATTTTATTTTATTTTATTTTATTTTATTTTATTTTATTTTATT